TGTATGCCTTATTTTGATTTAAACACCCACACACAAATACTTATTTGTTTAGTGCAGTTACTATTTAGTAAACTCCTAACCAGAGCATCATTTGATAGTGTGAAGAACTTGGAGTTCAAAGTTTGATATAATTAAAAATTGGATAAGTTCAGGTTCTAATAGAACCAAAGGCTTTTTCTTCTGAGATTGGTAAGAGAATGAGATAGTTGTCTGTTTCTGGGTGCTCTTTGGTAAGAGTTGTAATTTGTCATAGTATTCTTAATTCAGAAAAATTAGGAACTAGAATGCTCATAAATTTATAGCTGTTCTAATCCCATGGCAATTAAGTATTTTGTTTCTTTTTTTGCTGTATTAAAATGTTTGTTATGTGACGAATCCTGAGCCACATTTCAAAATTTTAAAGATGTTGACATAAATTAATGGGACTTTACAATTGTAAAACTTAGCTAGTAGTATTCTGGCAAAACCGTAACCTCACTGATAACATTTGGTTGATGGAATAGTTATTTGGGAAACCAACATGACTGGCTTTATTTTTAAATGAGATTTCATAAATGGAAACTGTTTTTTAGCCTTTTAAAAAATGTAGACTTTTAATATAATAAAAAGCAGAAGCTAAGAATTTCCTCATCTAAAAAAAAATTCACATAAATACTTATTATAAATCTATATTTCTTACCTGAAATTATTTGCAGTTTTCCTTTTTGATGTATTAACTCTTTACTATTTTTCTTCCATTTTCATTTTAAACTTTTCCACATTACTTGCTTGTCTTACATGTAGTTAGCTCTTCTTTTCCTGTTCCTAAGATTAATTCCCAATATTGTCATAAAATTTTAAAATTTTGAAAATCAGAAGTGATCTTGTTTTATTCTCTTCTAATATTGAGTAAACTAAGTCTCAGAGAGATTTCACCAACTTGCCCACAATAACAGCTGGGCAAAATTAGGATTAGCAATCTAGTTCTTTCCTCTCATTATGCCATAATACCTCAAACTTTGTGCCTTTTCTACTATCAGAATCTGCTTCCTACTATCAGAATCTGCTTTCTCTTAGGATAATACCGAAATGACATTTAAAATTCCCTGAAATGTTTTTCAGTAGTTTGATCAACATTTAGCACACAAGGAATGATTTTATTAAGGTGGACAAGTTTCTATTAAGTTTTTTATATTTCAGTTTGAATAGCTACAAACAACTCATTTGACCCTAATCTGAGCCTTAAAACTTAGCCTTTAGCAGAGTAACTTCCTAAGAATTTTTTTCCTAAGAAATTCTGATAAAATTTAACTAAAAAATAAAATAATTTGAAAATTCATGGAACTCAAAAGAAAACTGTAGGAGATGAAGATCTTACATAATTTTATATTGCGCATGTCATAATAAAAATGATCTTTTCCCCAGTGCTATATTTATCACTGAAAATAGCACATGAGGGAATATGAAGTTTGAAGTAAAGAGCGTTGCTTAGTTTTATACATTAATTATAGTATAATAAATAGATGTTTATTATGAAAAGCAAATAAATCAGTACTATATTCTATACTATTTCAGGTTAATCTAATTTTTTTTTTCTTGGTCACAAACAATTGTTTTATCTGAAGCAATGGGAAGAGATGAAACTATCCTTTTAGAAAATCTTGGAAACAAACTGAAAAGTGTGTTGTCAGTCTAGAATACTTGATCCATATACAGTATACTTTGCAACATAACTTTATGTTCAGCTGGTAATCAAAGCATTTATTAAATTTCTTGAGAACTAATTGAAACATTTGCATAGTTTAGCAGACTGAAATCTCATAGATTTAGAGCTTAATGCATAACCAGAATTGAAAAGATTATGAAGGTTCAGCATGTTATTGAGTCAATGCTGATCAAAGAAAATGTGTAAGACAAAAAGGCCCTTAGGAAATGTTACCCTGTGAAGTGCCACTTGTCCTTAACTGAAATTTAACACAAATCTCTAAAGATGGGACTCCATCAGAAGTAGCACAATAATGGCAGCTGGGTATGCCCGCTACAGTATCCCAGCTGGTATGTGTGTGTGTATGTGTTCTTTCTGCCTCTCTCAAGTGCTGTCAAATCTCTCAAATCAGTCTCTCAGGTTATTTCTCTTCCTCCCCGTCCCCCATCTCCCTTCCCTTTAGTCCTGCCTTTCTCCCCCCAGCCTCTCACTCTCCTTCTCTGTTTCTCCATCCTTCTTTCCTCTCTGAGAGAACTTGTGTTCTTCATTTGATTCCTGGTAACCTTAAATTCATCTGCATCATTTTATACACAGCTGTATTTTGTGATTCAGATTTCCTAGAATACTGATTTTTTAGAAGAATCATTTTTACTTTTGTGTACATTTAGGGTTTTTTCCTTCTCTACAAGATTGTGAAGTAAAATTTTAATTAAGTAAAACCGTCCATGAAGATAATTGAATTTGAATATCTCCATTAGTAAAACCATCTTTCATTTTGTGCTTTTGCTATCATTATCATTTACCTTTTTTTCATATAATGGTAAAATCTGCCAATGGTTACAACATTGATAAAACAGAGAATTACTTTTGAAAGACTAGTTTGTTTTCACTTAAAATGTTGTTGAGTGATTGTGGTTTAACACATGATTCTTTTCATTTAATCTCAGAAATTCTGCCAATTTAGTTTTTCCATTGGAACAATCAAACATTAGCCTAATATGCTTTCCCTAAAATGCTTTACGTTGTACTGTCTCAGCCAAGTTCTGCCCGCATTAACCAGTTTATTCTATGACAAGTTGCTTAACAGATGTCATTCTGGGAAGAACAATGAAGCCAAATACTTGTGCAATGGCTAACATTGCTCTAACTTTGATCACTTTTGTTCAGCACATCAGTCTGGCGTTGTGCTTTATACCAACATAACACTATAGCCAGAACATGCTTTTCAGGCTTAGAATAGCAAAGGAATGTTATTCAATTCAGTGTGGTTACAGATGAGTTAATGGAAGAAGAAAAATACTGTTTATTTCATAATACCATATTGTTGTGTTTTGGAATTAAGGTGGAATTTAAAGAATCCCACTCCAGAGTTATTTGTTTATATACTCAACCCATAGTATTTGTGTATACTCTTCAGTGCTGGGGTAGGCTTCCCACCTTTCCAACAGAGGTAAATATTTGCCTTGTCTTTTTCTATCCCCCTTCCCCAAATAGCTGAGGAAGCTTATCTAGACAACAGAATTCAAAAATAACTTTTAAGAAAGGAATTTTTTGTGTTGAGGCCTAAAGTCTCCTCATAATCCCTTTTCCGTCCTTTCCCTTTCTTTCATTAATATAATGCTTTGGGTTTATGGAACACCCTTCTTAAGAGCACTAATGTTTAAGCAGGACAAAATAGTCTTGGCTAGTGGAAGTGGTCAGAAGTTTGCCTAGTTGCATTTGGTTGAATTGTTGGGTTGATAATAACTAGTGAAAATTTCCAAACTTCATGCAACTGACCATAAACAAAATACTGCATGGTAGACTGGCCATTGCTAAGAACCTCTGAAGAAAAGTTGTTTGTTTGAATTGAGTGGGGATCAAGCCATGCCCCCAAGCTCCTCAGTTCTCACTTACTTAGTCTTTTTTCACAGGTGTACATTAGAGATAAAAATAGATTGAGTTCCATGTTTTGTTTTGTTTTGTTTTTCTTTTCCTCAGTGAATATATATCTCTGTTTCACTGGAAGGATAACTTAGATGTGTGTATGTATAATAAACAGTAATGTGATACAAGATGCTGTAATTGGACAACATGATACTTTCTTCTGCATTTTTAAAACATGAATGAATACCGCTTGTTTTCCATATCGAAACGGCATCACAGAACAGGTTATGTGCAACATTTCAATACTAGCCTTACTTGTTGCGTCAGGTTTCCCTTTACCTAACTTGAAGAGTTAGTTAAGATAGGTGATCTCTCTATTCTTAGGTCTTGTTTATTTTTTTAAATTAAATACATTCAGAATGAAATAGAATTTCTGTATCCTATTTGTAAGTAAAGCTGAAGACAGATATGACACCTCTTAATTCCTGGGTAACATAGAGTTTAACCTTCCAACACTTTATTTGGAGAAATTACTTATCTCCTGTCCTTTCAAAATGAGAGGTATAATGTTGCATGTTGAGGAAAGTAGTTTTTCATCTTTAACCATATTTAAAATGTATCATTACCCTATTTTCAGGAAGAGCCTAAATAGTATATTAATGGATGGCTCTCAGTTAATAAATATTCTGTTGGAATAGTTTTTAATTTGGGGTGATACCAAAGAATCTGTGCTGCTTTATTAAGTTTTTGTATTTTTGAAACTTACACCAAACAATAAAGATAACTTCAGGTTTTTCCTCCTGCCCTCTCCAAAAAATAAAACACAACAAACAACAAAAACTACATAGAAACTTGAAGTGTATCTTTTTTTTTTTTTTTTTTAAAGATTTTATTTATTTATTTGACAGAGATCACAAGTAGGCAGAGAAGCAGGCAGAGAGAGAGGAAGGGAAGCAGGCCCCCTGCTGAGCAGAGAGCCCGATGTGGGACTCGATCCCAGGACCCTGAGATCATGACCTGAGCCGAAGGCAGCGGCTTAACCCACTGAGCCACCCAGGCGCCCCGAAGTGTATCTTTTGTTTATTGCACATCGTGAGTCATTTAAAGATGTGATACATTATTAACATTTAAAATTATAGTCCATCATAGATGAACTGTGTACCTAAAGTTTCCTGACTAAAAAGAAACTTGAAGTCATCCAGGAACATAAAAACAATCGACAGAGGGAGATGTTTATTGAACCTTTATTTTACCTAGTTTTCATTGAGCATCTGCTTTTAAATTTGATTTAAATCTTTTTACAGAATTTTTGACTTTTGTTTTCCTAGTTTCAAATTTTTGTTTCAAATCCAGAAGAGAAAAGGAAATACATGAATATCACATAAGTGTCAATGATCATAAGTCGCGGGGAAAACCTTATTTTAATTGTGCTATCTTTTTCTTTGTATAGGTAAAGAGAAATGTGTATGACCTTACGAGTATTCCTGTTCGCCATCAATTATGGGAGGGCTGGCCAACTTCTGCCACAGATGACTCGGTAAGTGACAGTTGAGTTATCAGTTTTTTTATTCTGTTCTCTCTTTTGCCACTTTCAGTCTAATTGGTTGTGATAATAAGCAGAATCAAATGCTTTGAATGTTCCATTGAAAGAACTTTATATATCAAATAATGTCAAAATAAGGAGTTGTGATCATTTGAGTTCACTTGCAGAACAGTTATCATAAACCAAGTATATCAACATTCTTTTGGTAATATTATAGTGTCAATATCAGGAATTTGATGCTACTTGATTTAATTTTTTCCTTAATGAAAAGAATATATTTAGACGTTCCTAATGAAATATCCTAAGCACAAATTTTTTTTCCTAAATTACAGATGTCTCAAAATCAAGCTTACCAGTATATTTAATTTTAATTTTAAAACTACATTTCTCATAGTAGGTTGGTACTTTTTTAAAAAGTTAATTTTTATAGTAATATTAATGGCCCTTTTTTCTTAAACTACCCATAATTTTCACTGCCATAATAAGCTAGACGAAAAGATTTAGTCTGTCATTTTTACCTGTTACTATATCTATTTATGATGATTATCCTATTGTAAATTTTGGAAACATTTCCTGTCTCAGCTTAAACTCACTGTATTCAAGACTGTAATACTACCTGGTGTTGTATATAAGTCACAGCTAACACAAGAGGGAATCTCCATTAAGAGACTTGATTCTTTTTGCCTCATTATTCATATTTGCACCTTGTCCCAGAACCTGTGAAGTGATGCCTGCCCACACCTCCCTAGAGCAAATGTTGCCACATTGGCAGAATGTTGCCTTGAGCTGCATGATTTGATACAACAAAGATGTTTGGGGCCAGGCTGCTTTTAACTGGTGCCATAGCAGATCCACTAGCCCCAGTACTTAGGTTTTGGCAGAAATGGCTTATAACTGTAGTCTTCTAAGAAGATCCCAGCCAAAGAAATGTCATGAAACCTTTCTTTCATTAGGATTATAAAAACTCATAAAGCTGGTGCTTGTAATCTATATTGTTGCAGGCGATGGTGTTTTTTTACTTATTTAAATCACTCAAGTGGAGGCATCTGCTACAAAACAAGATCGTCCTCACAGCTTAGGGCATGAATTGGGTACAGCTGAGAAATGTCAGCTGTGTAAACAGCCTGAAATGTGTTACCAACAAAAATATAATTAATTTCTTTCCAAGACAGTGTGCCATAACTTAATGCTTAGAATGGTTTAACTTTCAGAGAAAGCACCTGAACATTTTCTTCCCAGTGCCAGAGTAGAGGATTGATTATAAAGGTCATGAAAAGTGAGGTTAGTTTACACTTTCCCTGCTCAATTGCAGATATTTGTGTGGCTTTGAATATATAGTAACTTTAGATACCAGTGGCTTCATGAATTTATGGAAACATCATAGATCAAGAAGTTAATGGATTTGAGATGATGCAAGTATTCTAAAATTAGATTGTGGCAAGGTTGCACAACTCTGTAAATTTACTAAAAATCATTGAGTTGAACACTTAAAAATGAGTAAATTTTATGGCATGTAAATTATACCTCAAAAGCTATTTTTTAAAAAGTTAATGTAGAGAACTAGATTAAAATACTTTAGCATTTACATTTTTATGTTGTATGAGAAATTTTTTGCAATAACACAGGAGATGTATTCTTTAGCGTACTTCTCATTAACCTTTGACTTAGCAAACAGGGCAAAGAAATAGACTTCTTATAATTAGATTCTTGTATAATCTTGAGTCTCTTACCAACATGATAGACTACACTCTTTTGACATTTTCAATGCTACTCAGTGAAGTCAACAGTCATTTAAAACATTGTTGTCCCATATCCCTTCAGAGTTAAAATATTTTCTTTGCTTGTAGCTGTACTTTAATGGAGTATGGGATACTGTATGAATTGTCAATAACTCTTTCAGTTCCTTTTGCACTCTTTCACCAGGGAAATAGGTATCTAAAGCTGCACCAGTAGGGGAATGTTTTCATGCTGTGACAGTTCAGCTGTGAGAACAAGGAGTTGTAAGTAGGCGAAATCTCATTTTACACTTTAACAAGGATGCTCTTGGTTTCCAGAGAGTAGAAATAATTTTAACACTCTGAATTATGTCTAGACTTCTTTTTTATTATAATGCAGACAATTTGAATATAAGTAGTTTTAAAAATTCCAATTTTAATAGTGCTTACACAAAGGAAGAAAAATCCTGCCTTTTTTCAATTAAAATTTTTTTATAGTTTAATATATTTTAATAGAAAACTTACAGGAACAGCACAGAAGAGAGACCATATTGAAACATATACTTGCATGCAGGACACCTCAGAAAAGTATAATGAATGAATGGAATCCACTGTATGATAAAAATGCTACGAACACCATTTACTTGCCATCATAAGAAAATTTACTCATTTTTTAAAAAATCCAAATGCTGGCATTGTGCAAAAAAAATTTAGTGGTTTTATTTATAATTGTTATAAAGTTGAGCTGCTGAAACTTGTTCACTGAAATATTTGACTTGCATTAATGGTTTACATCCCTCCATTTATAGTAAAAATTCACACACACATAAACAATGAATCTTGGAACACTGAAAAAATAAAAAATAAATTCACACACAAATGAAAATGGAAAAATTGCCAATACCTGATTTTTGTCTTCTGTTTTCCCACTTTCAGTCATATACCTAGGTATCTTTTGACCCCATGGAAAAAAATATATAACATTCAGAACGACCAATAACAGGAAGAAGATAATTTTTTTTTTTTTTTTTAAAGAATGAAATGCTTTCCATCATAGTGGGTTCTTAAGCACATTCTCCTTGTGTGCGGCATGCTAGCTAGATGTCTTTTGGCATAATTGTTACCCATTTGGCATGGATAGCACATATGTCGGTGTCTTCAAAAAGGCCAACCAGATAGGCCTCACTTGCCTCCTGCAAAGCACCAATAGCTGCACTCTAGAAGCACAAATCTGTTTTGAAGTCCTGAGTAATTTCTTGCACCAGCTGCTGGAAAGGAAGTTTATGAATCAGAAGTTCAGTAAACTTCTGATAACACCTAATTTCACAGAGTGCCATAATACCAGGCCTGTAATGATCAGGTTTGTTCCCCCTTCTAGGAGAGGGTGCATTCTTGCTAGTGGGTTTTGTATCCGTTGCTTCCTCAGTGCTTTACCACCAGTGGATTTGCAGTCCACTTTGTAGGAGCCATGGCATAGAGACCTCCTTACTTACCCCCCTTCTCCTTCAGCTAGAGGTGGGTGAGCTAGAGGTGGTGCAGCAATGGCTGCAAACACAATTTAATCCTTCAGGTTTAATCCTTTTTTATTGTGTACTATTTTTTCTTTTGAATTTACTGATGGGCTTCTATGGTTCCATCATTGGCTCAAGGAATGTTAACTCAGAATTTTAAGAAATTGGGAATTTTATTTTTTAAAGATTTATTTATTTGAGGTAGGGGAGGGATAGAGGGAGAGGGAGAGAGAATCTTTAAGCAGACTCCCCACTGAGCATGGAGCCCAACACAGGGCTCCATCCCAGGACCTTGAGATCATGACCTGAGCTGAAATCAAGGGCTGGACACTCAACAAACTGAGCCACCCGGGTGCCTATTGAGAAATTAGGGATTTTAGAATCAGTACTTTATGTATGTGTTAAGAATCAGAAAGCTGCATATTAAATATTTTCACATTGAAAATGAGATCATTTATAGGCAGAATCATCCCACAATGGTTCTTCTATAAAATAAAAACAAAACAAAAACCACACACATATCCCTCTTTCTTTTTCGTAGTTTTAAATAAAAAGAATTTGTGAATGTGAGTATGTTATCTACTTTGATCCTTGTGATGGAAACCATTTTCTTCTGTAACTTCTCCCTGATGCATTGGGTTTGACAGGTGTCAAATTATGGACATTCCCTTGCCACTGGATCCCTGCCCTCCATTTTACGGGAGCTGCTCTCTGAATAGACTCTCACAGTTACCACATACTTATTACACTATAATTACCTACTAAGTAAACTCATAAGCTTCCAATATAGTCATTCTATCCATTGTTGCAAGGTTAACATTTCTGAAGTCCAGAATGAATCACATTCAGCCTTGTTTACTTATCTTCAATGGGAACCCAATACTTGCTGATTTATGTACAGATTTTTATGCTGGCACTCAAAACCCTTCATTCTTTGATCTGAAATTTCTCTTCCAGGTTTATTTTCCCATATAGGTCCAGAATAAATGCTCAGTATATATTTCTCAATGATTGAATATGATAACATATATTTCTCAGCTTTAGCTAACTACTCATTTTTCTATTCTTGAAATATACGTGATACTCTGTCCTACTCTGTGTCAGTTAATCATACTATTCCTTCTGTCTGGAATACCTGGAGCAATAATTTCTTTCCTCCAAGACTTTTCTTTAAGAAACTTTGCCTATATGCCTCTTCCCAAGCCACATTCTCCAACCCTCTTAGAAATAAGTTTATATTTCTTTCTTCTATTTTTTAAAAGTCTTTCTTCTGTTTTTTAAAAAAGATTTATTCATTTATTTGAGAGCGCATGCATCCATGTGAGAGAGGGACAGAGGGAGAGAACCTTCAAGCAAAGTCCTTGCCAAGCATGGAGGCTGACAAGGGCTCAACCCCACAACACGTGAATGACCTGAGCAGAAACCAAGAGGGGGATGCTTAACTGACTGAGCCACCCAGATGCCCCTCTGTTCTTCTATTTAAATTATTTTAATTTTTCCTTCTTTGGTTCTTTCCTTCCTTTATTCCTCTCACCTGGTTCTATTACTTACCATCTGAATAACCAGAAGCAATTAACCTCTCTTGGTGTCAGTCTCTATAACTGTAGAAGAGAGATAATTGGGTATTGTGAAGATGGAAAGAGTCAGTGGTTACAAATATAGTTACTACTTAAGTTTATTTTGAAGATTAAAGTAGTCAATACAAGATAATGTCTAACATAGTTAACCTTTGGCTGTTACTGGTTTTTTTTTTTTTTTTTTTTTTTAA